TACACACACACACACACACAGACAGACAGACAGACAGACAGACTCACACAGCGAGAGAAAGGGAAATAAATAAATAAAGAAAGAAAGAATGAAAGAAAAAAAGAAAAAGTGAGAGAGAGGTGAAAGAAAAAAAGAAAAAGGGACAGAGAGACAAAAGGAAGGAAAGAGAGAGAGAGACAGAGACAGAAATACAGAGAGAGAAAGAAAACACATGGCCGGCAAGCCACTCCCACCAGGTCACATGGCTAGCAAGCCACTCCCACAAAGGAGGCCACACCCACAGAGTAGGTTCGAAAAAATTTTGAAACCCACCACTGATATTAAGGAACTATTTCAAGTTCCTCAGTATTTTGACGTTACTAAAGTTATTTAGTTTTGTAATGTGATCACTTTTTGCCAGTGTTTTCCTTTCTTTTTAGACTTCTGTAAATTGTTTTATATTTCCCTCAAAAATACTCAGTTCACTGCAATTAACTGAACAGAATCCCTTTGGGGCACACCACTCCTCAAATTTGTAATTTTTTCACCATACAAAATTCATCTTTTTAAAAATGTTGCATTTCCCAGCCATTAACTCTGCCATTATTCTTACCTTGATCTGGGGATATTTTAAAATGAAATGTAGTTTTTCTCATTGCTAATTATTTCAAGATACAGAGGAGAATCTTTATGTACATATTCAAGTGTTTTTTTAAAAAAATGAAATAAGTAAACATTTATTCATTTGATTTCTCTTCCACCACAGAGAGGTGAGAAATGAGGTTCTGGAGGAGAAATAGGGCAGCTTCCCGATTCCTGACCTCCAAAAGGTGTTGGGTCTGAGTCCAGCCATGGAATGCACCTCTAATGGGGGTTGTTCACGATTGCCCACTTCTGAGATGACAACCAGGCGACGAAAAATCATATTCAGGTTAGAGATTGCCATATTTTTTATTCTGGGAATTCAACGTGGGGAGAAGGGGAGGAGGAGGAGGAATCAGGCTGTTGTTTTGAGAATCTCTCTCTGTATCCTTTTGCAGGCCTGCAGCTGAGGAGGAGGGGACCCCTTCACGTCTTCGGGAGCCCCTGGACAGAGGCAGAACCTCACTCCCCTTAAGTGAGGATGAAAAGTGGTCACCCAAGAAGAGGCAGCGGCTCCAACAAGGCTCCCCGCCAAAGGCAGATGAGGGCAGGGATCCTTGCGGTGGGATGGGAGAGACCCTGTGGGATGTGGCATCTCCCATAGAGAAGAAACAGCGAAAGGTGTTGGCTATTGATCTGGAAGACTTTTCCACAACCCAAGTGCCAGTAAGGATGCTGTAAAACCTGGAGTGAATGTTAAAGGGATTTGCGGGATAGGCTACCAAACTGAATGGATGATGTATCTCCCAGGCTTTGTGTAGGCAGATGGCAATTCCCTCATTACTAATTGAGACTGGGTGTTCTTAAATTACAGGTCTGATGCCTAATTTTTTATTTGTTTGTTATTAAGCAGATAAGTTTTGATTTACCAAGCTTTTTTACGTATAGAATTCTTTTCAAACTTGCAAGTTATTTTTTCTGTTTCTAACCATTTGTGGATAATGATGTTATACTATGGCATGCATTTTTGGGTTGAATTACTAACATTTCTAAGAGCTGATCTATGATGATAGGGCAGAATGAGATAGGAAAAAAGAAACTTATTACAATTCTTGCCTCTAAAACTCTTCACAAAACGTGTGTTCTGAAATTTAGACTCTTGCACAGAACAAATGGGTAGATTTGATGCCCTTCACAGCCAAGAGTTTCTCCGAGTGCAGGAAATCATTCAAGTACAATGTTTTGTATAACTGAAACAGGAGAGTTAATCATATGATCTGTAGTTTTTTCTGTGTGGTGATCCAGGGTTTGGCATGAAAGCAACACAGCCAGAGAGCAGGTCTAACTTCCCTTTATTGTTCCACCTGAGCCCCCAAACTTCCTCACACTTACTACAAGTCTTGGAGCAAAGCTGTCACAAATACCTTCAACAGCCTCTAGTCCAGTAAACAAGGTTAGCACACAGTAACCAAGATAAGAAATCCAGTCCAGCGCTGTGCATTTTATAGCTGCACAGTAGTAAATCCAGCAGGGTAAAGCAAGGAGTTCAGGAAGCAAAGAATCCAGGTAATTAGTCCAAAAAGCCATACGGAATGCAAGGAATCCAAGGCGGTTCAAATGTCAGCACTCACCACTTCATGAATTCAGTGTTTGTTCCAGACAAATGCTCCTTAAGTCTCACTCACCCTATGGAACGATCTACCCCCAGAGATCCGGATCCTCCCCACTCTCGCGGCCTTCAAAAAGTCTATTAAGACCTGGCTTTTCCGGCAGGCCTGGGGTTGTTGACCTCTTGAATGAGGCCCAGCCCCATTACGGTTGAGTGCGTGCTGTGTTTTAACCTATTCTGTCTTCTACTTTTTAAACTTTTAGTACTTCTTAAATTGTCTTTTATGTAAGCCGCCCGGAGTCCTTCGGGATTGGGCGGCATATAAATTTCTTAAACTTAAACTTAAACTCACTCCCCTGGTGTGCCTTCTGAAGGGGGGTGGGGCACTCTCCTCCCTCGTAACTGGCTCAATCTACGTTGTTCTCTCCTTCTCTCTTCTCTTTGTGCTTTCGGGTCAGGGGATGGTGGTTCTTGTTCATCTCCTGAGCTCTGTCTCTCCTGTTCCTGTCGCTCTTATGAGCTGTTCTAGTCCTGAACAGCTCTGGCTGGACTGGTTCTGCCCTTCCTCTGTTTCCTTCCAAGCCAACGGAGTGCCCCCCCCCCCGAGTCTCTGTTGACTCAGCTCGTCTTCCCCCGCAGATTCAAGCTGCCAACGCTAGCCCGTGGGATGAGGAAAAGAGGCTTCTTATCTGATGTTTACAGATGTTTGAAAGTTAGGTTGTCTCTCCCTCTGTCCAGGAGGTTCCACAAAGATGCTCCCTTTTACAAAGGCCTGCCTTGCTTCCTTCCAAAAAACTCCTCCAGTCCTCATTTGGGAATGAGACCAAAGTTTCCTGGTCAAGAAACAGACAGGATAGCACTGTGTGCAGGTGAGCAACGATTCAGGAGAAAAAAGTTGAGAGTGTGGTTTGTGGATGTCAGCAGCCTACCTGTCTGTCTTGCTCCTTCAGATCCCTTCTGCCTAAGCTGGGTTCTCGTCCCTGTAAAGAACCTCAGGAACAGTTGGCTCCCATGTGCCAGAAGTTGGGGGAACATAGACTCTCTCCCCCTCGCTGCCGTGAGTCAGAGCGCTTGCAAGCCAAGAGGCAGCGCCTGCAGAATGGAGTCCCTCTTATAAATGGGAGAGAGGGAACACGGGCCACTCCAGAAGAGGAGGCTCATCGGCCAATTCCCACTTTGGAGGATTGTCAGTTGACCCAAGCCCAGGTGAGTTTGCTGCGGGAAATCATTTGCACATGGGCAAACCTTTTGCAGGTTGGGGTCAGAGGGAAGGTGGTCCCATTTTAGTTCAGACCTCTTTTCTCGCCAGCAGGACGCTGGTGTTGGCCAGGAGCTTCTGGAGAACTTCCCACCTCCCTGCAGGTGAGTGTTTCCACATTAGGATGGAGGAATGACTAAGCCATCCTTTTCCCTTCACCAGGATTATGGCTGTGCTGCAAACAGATCTTGAGAGTAGTCTTCCTTAATGGGCCACTCCCCAGGTGTGTTAGCCTTCCAGGTACTGTGATTGCTGAATGCCATGCTGGTAGGACAGTTTCCCGAATGGAAGTCTACTTTATTTGGAATCTCTGGATTGGGGAGGGCTTAACATTTTTTATCCTTTAATGCCAGTGCTGGGTAAATTTCTAACTGATGCCCGGCTGGAGAAGGCTGTTCCGGGACATCATCAGACAGAAGAGCTAAAACGATTGCCCATCACTTTCCATTCTTTATGCTCTTGCTCAGGAGTGATCATCGAGAATTGCCTCATCTGCCATCAAGCATGAAAACGCCAGTGTCTTCAGATCTACATGACCAGGAGCATCACACAGGTTGGTGGCGTGCTGAATTAAATAAAGGAGTTTGGTAGTATGCAAAAAACGTTTATACCTAAACACTGATAGCAAAAGTGATCAACCTGTCTGTGGCCAAAGGTTGCACTTTAGGGACAGGATCCTCAAAGAAATAATGCTAAAGTAAGCTGTTTGAGGGAATGGCAAAGGCAAGGAGGAATTCATGTCATGTAACACTGTTCCTGAACTTATTTAGAAAAGATGGGGATTTACATCGCCAAGGATTCTGGACCGATGTATTAGGCAGTGGAATTCACTCTAAATTTTGATGATTTCTCCAAATAAGGAATGTAGAATTATAATGGCTACGTATTTGATACTTCATACATAAAAAAAAGTACAAAGCGAAGGGATAAACAAATAAAAAACAAATTTGAAAAAAGAAAAGGCTCTAGCAAGTTTTTATATTTGCTTGAGAGTGAGAAACCTTTTGCTAATGTTAGAATGAGACTTCACTGAACAACTAATTTTGTCTTCTTGAAATCCATGTCACATAATTCAATGTTTCAAAAGTATTCATACCATCTTAGCCATTTTTGACATAAGATTGCCAGATTTAAAAATTCTATAATACTATAAGAAATAATATTTCTTAACCTTGGTGACTTAAAATGTGTGGACTCCTATTTCCACAATTCCCCAGCCCGCCATGGTTAAGAAACAATAATGTAAAGGGAAGAGAAATTTTTTTCTATCTTGACCTGTGATGAGAATGCCTCCTTTTCCCTTCAATTATTAATCTTGACACATGCTAGCATTACAGACACAAGTGTTGAAGAAAATGAATGCGAATTACTATATCCTTGCAAATATTTAGCAATATTGCTGTGCATGAGAAAGAGGCCAAGAAAAGAGGAACAGTGAAAAAAGGAAGGAAAAGAGGAGAAAGATGAGGAAGAGAAAAAGATGATGCCCTAGAGTACTTTTGACTTTGGGCCTTTTCATCGCTTGCACCACTGTGTCTCTTTGGAAAGGATGTCATGTACTGATAGTCCTTGACTTACGACCACAATTGGACCCAAAATTTCTCTTGCTAAACAAGATTTCGATTAAGTGAACTTTGCCCCATTTTACGACCTTTCTTGCCATTGTTGTTAAATGAATTATTGCAGTTGTTAAGTTCGTAACACGGTTGTTAAATGAATCTGGCTTCCTCCATTGACTTTGCTCATCAGAAGGTCACAAAAGGGGATCAGTCCGGACACTGCAACTGTCATAAATATGAGTCAGTTGCCAAACATCTGAATTTTGATCACATGCCATGGGGATGCTGCAACCATTGTAAGTGTGAACAACAGTCATATGTCACGCTTTTTCAGTGCTAATGTAACTTCCAAAGGGCCACTAAGCGAACTGTTGTAAGTCAAGGATTACTTGTACAGCAAAGCACTGTTTCTTTCAAAGCAAATTGACAATTTGGTGACAGTCGGACACTTTGTGTTGATGATCCAGGCAGTTTTTTTGGCAAAAACATTATGTCATGGTCATGGATCCAGGCTACTTGAGGAGGTCTCTCATCTCTATGGGATTGGCCTGCCTCACGTGCAGAAGGGGCATACTGTTGACCGCTTCGGCTGAGGAATTTTGGTTGGTGGGGGGGGGGGTCAGGAGCAGAGCATTTCCTGCTGTGGCTTCCTCCCTTTGGAACACCGTGCCCTCAAGGTGGGATCTGCCACCACTTTCTCGGCCTTCTGGAAAGGGCTGAAGACCTGGCTCTGCCACCTGATTTGAGACCCCAATGGGTATTGGTTCCTTTTTGCCTAATGTTTTTGTTAATGTTAATGCTTTAAATTTAATTATTAATATTTTTAATGAACTAATTGTTTTTGATGGTGTTTTGTGACATTGGAAACTGCCCAGAACCACAATGTGGCAAGATGCATATAGTTGCATATACAAATTTAGCAAGTAAGTAATACGAAAAAAAAGCTTACCACTACCTCCTGGCAGGATTTTCTTAAACTTCCAAATCTAGTAACTTCTCTGGCATGTTCTGGGGGTCAGGAGTCTCTCCTCTGAGCTGATATTGGTTAACTTCTGAATCAGCCTAAATCAGCCAACTTCTGCCACATGCTAAGACAGGACTTCCCTCTTCCTTAAGTCCAAAGTAAAGTTTTTTTCCTGACCAACATTCTTCGAAAGATGCCAGCCAGAGAAATATTTTGAACTCTCCCTCTGTTGCTTTGAGATCATCAGCCCACCCCCCCCCCGCCTCTGAGGTAGATGGCAGTTAAGAAGTACAGGTAGCCCTCATCTGACAACAGTTTGCCTAGTGGCCATTCAAAATTACAATGGCACTGAAAAACGTGACTTATGACCATTTTTCACACTTATGACCATGGCAGCATTCCCCATGGTTATCCGATTTACATTCAGATGCTTGAAACTGGTTATAAATAAATCATCGCATAGCTGTGTTTTAACATCTCGTGTCAATGGCCCTCAAGATACCTCGTGTGTAACAGCCATATCTTTCTCCTTCCATCAGGTCCCTCCTCTGAAACATCCAGTTCTACCTCGGTTTCGACCCTCTTGCGTCCATCCATGGTCCCGCGTTTCAGGCCCTGGGGCTTGGCCCCAGTCTTCCAAAGCATGCGTTCGAAACTGGAAGCCTTTGCCGAGATCTTCTTCAGCCCGTCCAAACCATCCCTGCCGCCCATTGAAAGATCTCCGTCCCCATCACCATGTCCTCCAGCAAATGGGGACGAAGCGGCAACAACTCCATCGGCCACCCCTCGCCCGGGAGTCAAAATCGAGGTGAAAATTGCCATTTCTGAACCACGTCCACGCAAGAGGAGCTCTTGCCACGAAGAAGAGAGAGAAGAAGCTGACCGCCTGGTGGTGAGCGGGAGGCCCCCCATCCGCCAGTGGCGCTTGAGCCAAGGGGAGCCGGCTCCACAGCCCCACCTTGGACGTAGCTATTCCTGCCCTGATTTTCCTAGAGCCTGCTCTTGGCAAAGCGTCTCTTCGGTGCTTTCTCCATTGTTGCAGCTGCGGCAACGCCGACACACGGTTTGCAGTCTGGAAGTATCTCGAGAACTGGACCGTCCCACGCTGCCCTGCCTGCGTAAGGAAGTGTACCCCTTCAGCAGCCCCCCTGCCCGCCTCTTGCCACGACCCTTGGTTCATACCACCTACTGTGATCCTTCCTCCTACTCTTCCCTGACACCATCCTGCTGTCATGAACCTGACCCGGCACATCCCAGGTAATAACTTTCCCTTCCCTGTTCCCCAAAGAGGTATGTTATTCCCCCCTCAAAGAACCCAGCAATGTGAGGATGATCCTGAAGGCACAGGCATAGGCTTCATTTCCTGGCTGAAAGGAAAGGAAGGGTGAGAAAGGAACAGATTTTTGATCCCTCCCTGTCCGAAAGGCTGGATCTATTACAAGAGCAATCCTCAACCTTTCCAGCTTGATGAGGGAATGGTTATGCGCAAGTGGCAGGTGAGCCCACGAGGGTTCATTTGTACAAGTGGTGGGCGTACGGCCCTGCTGCTTGCACAAAAGGAGCTGCTCATCTGCTGCTTCTGTGGCCAAGTTCTAAACAGGCCACTGCCCGGTAGTGGGCTGAGGCCCCGGGGGATGGGTACTGCCCATTTTTTTTTTACTTTGGGAGATTTTGATCACATGTTCTTGGACTCCCATTCCCAGCCAGAATGAATCTGGAATAAAGAGGGTGTTCAGGGGGTGTTGTAGTCTTCGACTTACAACAGTTCATTTAGTGAGCGAAGTTACGACGGCATTGAAAGAAGTGACTTCTGACCATTTATCACAGTTACGGCCATTGCACCATCCCCGTGGTCATGTGATCAAAATCCAGATGTTTCATATTTATGACGGTTGCAGTGTCCTGGGGTCATGTGATCACCTTAGGTGACCTTCCGACAAGCAAAGTCAACAGGGAAGCCAGATTCACTTAACAGCCATGCCATTAACACGTTTGGCAAGAAAGGTTGTAAAATGAGGCAAAACTTGTTTTAACAACTGTCTCACTTAGCAACAGAAATTTTGGTCTCCATTTTGGTCGTTCATCGAGGACTACTGTAATCCAAGAGTATGTTGGTGGCCATTGTCTGCTGCTTAAGACTTTGAGCAAGAGTATTTGAAAGTTGTTGTTTTTTTAGATTATGGTTACATCAGGCCATGTTCCCCTGATATCTATTTCTCCGTAAGGCACCATTGTGTATCCAATTCTTAACTAGTTCTGGAATCTGCAAAGGGGGAGGCATCACTTTTCCCCCCCCCCCACCTTTCCTCCAACTCTGTGACCCGACAAATGCGCGCACGACAAAAGCGCACCGACAAAACCGTGGTGCTAAAACTGCGATGTCATCAACGTGGCGACAACAGCGCGGTGACAGAAGCGTGATTTAAGTTGAGGTAAGGTTTAGGGTTAGGGTTAGGGTTAGATTTAAGGTTTAGGTTTAGAGCGCGCTTCTGTCACCGCGCTGTTGTCGCTGTGCTTCAGCGCTAATTTGTTGGCGCGCTTTAGAACTCGTGATTTTGTCACCGCGGTTTAGTCGGGCGCGCCTTTGTCATTCGCCCTTTTGTCGTTCACCCTTTTGTCGGTGAACCCTCCAACTCCTGTGTTGTGCTGCATATTTAGTAGGTCTTCCTGTTCAGTCAGCTCGCTTTCTTTTTCCTACAAGAAGTGTTGGATTACAGACCTCCTGGTTGTACATGCGGAGAATGCGGATGTTTGCAATCGTGACACATCTGAAAATTTAGGAGGAAAAGAATTGGGCAGAGACTGAATTTAAGTTCTTTCCCTTTTCTGTCCCCTCTGAACCAATGAGCAGATGTCTCCAACATGGAGAACATGTGGGGTCTCTTTGATCTGTACGTGACTTGTTTCCTTTGCCCTTTCAGGAAGGCCTCCCTCTCTCCAGATGGTGGGCAAAAGGTACCTGCGGTTGGCCTAGATATGGTTGCATCAGAGCCGTTGATGCTTTCAGAAGATGAAACGAAGGTCAGTCACTGTTTGATGTAGGGCCGTAATAGAGGAAGTGTTGCGAGTGAGGGGTGGGGTTGGATTAAGACAAACCCTACCTCTCTATAGGGCTTGCCTTTCCCGTCATGTCCATGCTTATCCCCACTTAATTTCCCTAAAACCTGCAGGGGTCCCAAGAGAACACATTAGAAAAAGTGTCCTGCATAAGAATCCGCAAGACCCCAGCCAGGCATCAAGCCAATCTCACCCCCATGGGGCTTCCCCGTCCAGTCAGGTGAGAGCATGCCTTAAACAAATTGGGAGCCCCAAATGAAAATGCTTCTGCAGGAGGGTGGGAATGGGCTTCCAGATTACCCAATAGTGGCCAGAGAACCTAGGATCCAGATTCTCCCATGATTCTAAGCTAGAAAAGGGGCAGTGGGTAAGCAGAAAGGACTAGACCTTTTCCAGGGTTAAAGTGCTGGGTCATTTGCTTTTCAATTGCATTGGAACAAATCTAGGATTTGTACCTTCTGATAGTGGGTCAGAGATCAACTTCTTTGGAGAACAGGGATTAAAGAGAAGGGCATTCTGGAACCTTGCGCCTGGAACATTTTCCAAAGATGCTTTGGACAATATGACCCAGTGGATAGTTCTGTCAAAATCTAATGGAATGGCAGGCTAAGAAACTTGCCTGAAAAAATGAGCAGAATGTTACCCTATGCACTGCAGAGAAAATGCTTTATTATTCTGCAGAACAATTTTCCCATCTCACAGATATTTTCCCCTACTGGCCAAGTTATTCCAAGGTAATATGTTCCCTTTCTCTCTTTTCTCAGGCTGAACAAGAAGGTGTTCAGTCTGGAGGAGATCTACACAAACAAGAACTATCATACACCTACAGAGAAGAGGTGAGAAGGCCCTGCTAATGGTTGTTGTATAGGGCTTGGTCCAGGTTGGCCAGACTGATACATAGTGGAGTCACAAGGTGGTGGGACCTGACCATCTGTACACTCTGGTTTATGGCTCAGCAGCTTTGTAAAACCAATTATGAGTTCTGCAGACCATAGTTAAGCAAACCACAATACAGAGTTTGTGTTTAATCTAGGACTCAGCCAAGTAGAGTCAGCACACTTGAAAAAGAAATGCTATAGTTTCTACCTGAAGATTTCCTGCCTGTATTGGCTAGGAAGGTTGAGACAAATTATTTGGACGGCACTCTCTGGAAGAAAGCTAATGCATATAAAAGTACTAGAGTAGTGGTTCTCCACCCTTTCTTCACCACGAAGTCCCTTAAAATACATTTTGTGGCCACAGACCCCGAAGACATAACTCAAGATTTAAATCATAATATTTCTTCAAGCCTTCCCGCATCCCCTGCGGTAATATCGCTGTCCCCCCCAGGGATCCACGAACTCCAGGTTGAGAATCACTGTAGTGGACTGATTTGTTGCTTTAGCACAGTGTTTCTCAACCTCAGCAATTTTAAGATGTGTGGACTTTGAATACCCAGAAATCCCTCAGCCAGCGTGATTGAAGCCCACATTTCTTTAATTCCAGAATGCTGGCTGGGGAAATTCTGGGAGTTGAAATCCACGCATCTTGAAAAATTGCTGAGTTTGAGAAAACCGCCTTAGCATATGCTCCCTGTTGAGGAAGCAACAGGTAAGTTAACGTTGATTGCGTTGGATTCAAAGTGCACCAGGGCACCACACCCATCTAACTGATGGACCACAGAGGGCTTACGGAATTCATCATTGAACGACTATTTCAGTCTAGGCTCATCTCATGCTTCCCATTTACTGCTGTCATGCAGAATTTATGTGGTATTCTCTATAACACTCCCCACTCTGGTCTGCAGACCCCTGGGGGAACGCAATATTGTCCCAGGGATCTGTAAAGGCATGAATTAATGTTATTTAAATCTGGTGGTGCAGGTAAGTATTTATGTTTGTATATAGCATGTGTATGTGTGTGTTGTATATGCATTTGGGTAGATATACACTCTCTTGAAGCGCAGGCATCAGAATTCATTTTTCATTTCATTTTTAATGTGGGCCAGTGTGCTCACAGTAAAAAAATAACTATAAATTACGTCTTGGTGGTCCGGGCCCATGGTCCAAGGTGGTCTTGGTGGTCCGTGGCCACAAAGGGTATTTAAAGGGAGTCCATGGTGAAGAGAATATGGAGAACCACTGTACTATAATAAATCACCTGTTCCCCCTTTTAGAATTTTCTCATCCTGGGGGTGGGTCAAGCAGTTCTTTAACAAGCAAGCAGTGAATACAAAAGGCTCTGCATTCAAAAAGGAACTGTAGATATTTTGCTATAGAGGTGTTTTACATTTTTCTTGGGTTCGCATTTTATACCCTTTCCTCTTTTCACGCTTGACCTTTTGGGCATCCATTAAGATGGCTAAAATTGTCTGATGACATCACAGTTCCATGCCTTGCTTACATCCAGAATATGCTCTGCACTTAATGATTGCCTGAACGCTGGCATCGTTTGCCCCCGATGCTAAATATTGGGAGTGAAGAGGAGTTAGATCTGTCCTCCTTTTAGCCGGTTTGATAGCTACGAGCCTAAGGCTGGCCTCCCTGTTAAGGAACCTCAGAGACAGCTTCTCCTTTTTAAATTTGGTGTCGAGTCTCCTTTTTCTCCTTGCAGATCATTTGAGACCATATTTGAGGTACCAGTGGAACGCAAGGGAACCCTTGTCTTCACCAGCCAACGCAAGCTGAAGAGGGCAATTCAGTTCCAGGAGGTGGGCCTTCCCCGTAAGCAACGCAAACCCCATCTCCGGAAGGGACTTAGAGCAAAGGGAAAACCTGCCCAGTCCCAGTCCGCTAAAGTGGAAGAGTTGCTACAGCAAAAACTAGCTGAACTGCATGACCTCTCGGAGGAGGAAGAGTGTTGAGCTCCAACTACAGAAAAATATCTATAGGAGCCCTTTCCTTCCCATCTTTTTCCCTTTCCCCAGAGCAGCTATTTCTCAAACTACTCGTGAATTGTCTAATATTTTTCTCCAAGCACCAAGTGATCCTGAGCACTCCCCAGGCTTCTTTATTCTCCTTGTCATCTCGACCTCTTGATCTCCAGTGACAGATGTTTCATGATCCAGGGACCCTAGGTTGTCCTCCAAACCATAGACAGTGTTCTTACGAATGTGGGGCTGGATGTCACCCTGAGGTCCCAAAATTTGGTGGTGTCCGTTCCTTGCATTCTGCTTCCAATGCACAATCAGACTCTCAGTGCCTGAATTAAGAAGAGGATGTGAAGCGTCTGGTCCAGATTTAGGACTTCAAGGGATGTATCCAACTAGGTGGAGATCAAGTTACTCCTCTTCTGTGGCTGCTATCTTGACTAAACCAGAAAACAAAGGAATGATAGGAGAGAAAGAGCAAAACAGGCATAAATGGAGTGGTGGGGGGGGGAATGGAAGGGAAGACTTATCAAGCAGCTCAGAAAGGAGCTGTCTCAGAAAGGATTGTTAAAATATGAATGGCTGTGAATCCTGCTTCAGTATGAATAGACTTACTGGGGTTATATTTCTGTTAGGCATGGCGGGTGGGGTGGGGGGGGGTTGATTGTATTTTTGTATTAATCTATATTTCTAATAAACATTTCTGCTTTGGAAATACTCTTTCTTTTTCAGTTATTGCTCTCCTGATCTTGTTTACAAGAATGCCGAAAACAGCTCGGAGGTAAATGCTTATGGAGATTCTCAGTCATCCAGCTGCTCATGGTTGCCTCAAAGGTGCTTTTTCAAAAGGGAACAGGAAAACTTTTTTTCCCACCCTGCACCATCCAGCCAGAACTGATGAAGCTTCTTGGATGAGAAGCAAAACCTCTTCTTCAAGGGAAAAAACAATCCAGTTGCTTTTCAAAAAAGCACCTTTGAGACAGCTCATAGGTACATTTCAAGGCCAGTGTTCCCTCCAGGTCTAGCAAACTGAAGATGCCATGATGGATCTTCTTCATTTGATGCCACAGGGCCAAGTCCTTGTGATTGACTTTCCCTGAAGCTTTGATTTCAAGAAACAAATAGTGAAAACTAACTAGTACTCTTAATCACTTGCTTCATGCTTGGTGCCGCAGCTTTCAACTAGTAGCAAGGGATCGTTTTTTTTCCTATTGGAAAAAAAAAATCCCCTAAATACATTTGGTTGCCTTCCCTGTTGCTCTGTTTACAAGTATTATCAAAATGTATTGTACAATAAATTATGCAATAGACTTAAATAGTGCCCTATGCTCTATACCACTTGCAATAACAGAAAAACAGCAAACGTATTGTCAAGTGATGATATTTCCCCAGATTTAACAATGGTTCCTTTTGGATGTCCTCAGTCTGAAGGGATGCATGTCTGTGATTTCATTGCATGTTCCTGGATCCAGCTTCAAGCTACATTCCTTCCCGTTCCTATGGAAAGAGGTCAATCTGTTAAGAAGTACAAATGGCTTTCCATTCTCTTCATAATTCTGGGCTACTTTATCTGCAAGAGTTAATTTTTCCCAGGTACCTGTGTTGCTCTTTAGATCAGTGTTTCTCAACCTCAACAACTTCAAGCTGTGTGGTTTCAATTTGAGTTTCAATTTTTTCACTGTGGGATATGTTGGTATTTGGGGAACCTATTTTTCCTTGCACCTACACAAGAAGCGGCATGCTCCAAAACCATAACAGAGCAACTCACCCTTTAACAATACAGATGATATTTTTCATTCTTTGCTACTCGAAACGTATTTTATGTGGCTGTGGCTGAACAGTTCCATTCTTGTTCCATCAGTTCAAAGTACAGTGTTCCAAACTATTTCAGGTTTATTACATTTTTTCTTTTACATACTTTCAGTCGGGGTTTATTAAACTCTGTTCTGTGAAACTATAGGGTTATGTAAGGACATGATGTTCCATGAGTAATTAAGGTCGTTAAAATGCTATTAAAATGCATTCTTGATCAGGGATTTATTTTTTAGAAAATATGTTTAAAATTTCTGTCCCTGACAACAGTTCTTAGGAGGGCACAGATATGGTTTTCTTCTGACAATTGTTCCCAAGAATTTGGCCAGTATTCCACCACTCAGGCTGGGGGGGTGAAAATTTACGCCCTTCAGACAGGGCGCGCAACTTGGGAGTCCTCCTGGACCCACGGCTGACTTTAGAACATCACCTGTCGGCTGTGACCAGGGGGGCATTTGCCCAGGTTCGCCTGGTGCACCAGTTGCGTCCCTACCTGAACCGGGAGGCACTCGCAACAGTCACTCACGCCCTCGTGACCTCAAGACTGGACTACTGCAATGAGCTCTACATGGGGCAGCCTTTGAAGAGTATTTGGAGACTTCAACTCGTCCAGAATGCAGCCGCGCGCGCGATTGTGGGTGCACCTCGGTACACCCACGTTACACCTATCCTCCGCTAGCTGCACTGGCTACCGATCGGTCTCCGGATACGCTTCAAAGTGCTAGTCGTAACTTATAAAGCCCTTCATGGTATTGGACCTGGGTACTTGAGAGACCGCCTGCTGCCAATTACCTCCCAAAGACCCATTAGATCTCACAGGGTCGGCCTCCTCCGGGTTCCGTCCACCAGCCAATGCCATCTGGCTACTACCCGGGGGAGGGCCTTCTCTGTAGCAGCTCCGGCCCTTTGGAATGAACTCCCCGCGGAGATCTGGACCCTCACCTCTCTCCAGGCCTTCCGGAAAGCCGTCAAAACCTGGCTGTGCCGGCAGGCCTGGGGTTGATGAGTTCCCCTCCCCTCTGGTATGGCTGTGTGATTTTTGTGTATTTTAATTATGTGTATTGTGTTTATGTTCCCTTTCCCCACTGGAGAAGGGCGGCATACAAATAAACCAAATACAATACAATACAATACACAGATTGTTGAACAAGTCAGTGTTTTTCAATTTTAACAATCTTAAGAATTATAGACTTCCGCTTCCAAAATTCTGGGAGTTGAAGGCTACATATTAAAATTGTGAAAGCTAGAACAAGCAACACTGAATATTGGACTGGTGGATATTCTTCCAGTGTCAACCACAGGGGCTCAAGTAACCTGTGAGTTCTATTGCTCAGATCTGATCATTTCAAGCAGAAGAGATGTGGGTGAAAGTTGGTTTATATATTCCAAACCTTGCCTTGACTTCAATTATTCCATATAACTTCCATTTGTTACTCACATTTAAAATTGCTGGCAGGAATTATTGCATTTCATAGCCTTCCCCTCCCTTTCAAGTTTAAATATCAGAAGTTTTGTTTTCAATCTTAACAACTTCTTAGCTGTTTGTTGAAAATAACCCAAACTAGCACAATCTGAGAGATGAAAAGAATTGTAGCATTCGTGAAAATTGTCTTCATGGGACTAACTGTACTCTATAGTCAATCACTTTTGGGGCTTTATTAACAAGCAAAAGGGGAAAAAACTGGAAAATGAACTGGAGAGATGTCCAGATTTCTGCATTACTACATTTCCCTGTTTTATTTAGAATCTGTAAACAACTGAGTGTGAATGGCAGAACTGTTGAGCTATACTTTACATCACAGAGGTTATGTCAGTTTCTTTCACTTAGGGATTAAAGGTGCTTAAGCTTTTGCATGGAACTGGGAGTATCTAAGGAAAGGGCACTTGTTGCCAAGTTCCATTTAAGATCTTTTCTGAAGATGCTAACAGCACAGGCAGAGAAATTTCAGCATATACTGCCTTGCACACATTAGCTGGAAAGTAATTTCCTTTCACACCAATGAACTGCTGTGAAAAATTAATACTGTAAAATATTGTGCCTGACTCAGTAAGCAAGCTTTTCAGATCCCTGTTTTAGCTGTCTGGTGGCACAACAGGGAGCAACCTCAGTTCCATTTTTAAAAGAGTAGACTACAACTCCCAGAAGCCTCCAGCCAGTTGGGGAATTCTGGGAATTGCAGTCCACCCACCTTCAAGAGGCCAAGTTTGAAAAAAAAAACAGCCCCTGAAGGTGAATCCTGAATCAGTGGAATGGATTCAGCTGATTAGGAAGAATCAATGGAATCACTCCATTGTTGGAAGATGGGTTCATCACATGGTCGTTTAATGACGTCAACTGGGCTGGCCACTACGCAAGGCGTCCATGGGCCTTCCCCCTCAAAAGAGGCGCGATCCCACTGTGAGGCGCTATGACGTCATTTCACGCAATGGCGGAGAGGAAGCCCCCGCCTTACGTTCTCCGACGTCAGGGATGTGACGTCACTCCCACAGGACGGAAGTGACAGCGGCGGGGGTTGAAAGACGTTGAGGGAGCGACATCCCTCCTCCGCCCTCTGTTTATGACATGGGAATTTAATAGGAGGAACAATTCCCCCACCCCCTCCCCGCTCTCTTCCGGCGGAGGGATTCCGTCGCTTCCATCCATCCGCTCGGCTGGCGGAAGGATATGACGCTGTGGGAGGAGTTGCGTGCCGTGCGCAGAGAGGAAGGAGATCCGGCAGAGGCAGCTAGGGGGAGGGGGAGTCCGGGGGGCAGAATCTGAGAGGAAGCGAGGAAAAAAAGG